GTAGCCTTGACTGTCCTGCAACTCACTCTGTAGACCAGGTTGGCCTCAAACTTATAAAGATCCACCTGCCTCTGTCTCCCAAGTGCTGGGATTAAAGGTGTGTACCACCACCAGCTTACATCTTTATTTTTAATTCTTATTCTTTTTTTATATTTATATAACCAAATGATTTGCTATGGTTGCTTTCCACAATTTCATAAACAAGTTTCTTTAGGAAACTTAGACAATCTCAGTCTTTTCCATGGTGAGACCAGTCTTGTTATTTCCACTCTGAAGTGAAAACCAGAAACACACCAATGACAAGGCCCATCTCACAGCATGGCCACAGCATGCATTCTGATGATTCCTGAGGAAACATTTGGCACTTCTGTAGGAGCCACAGTGGACCACAACACTGTCAAGGTGGGCTGGCGAAGCTCCAGGATCACTTAGAAGAAGCTGCTGAGAAGACTAGCTATGGCCTACAGGGGACACCAGTCTCTGGTCCTTGGGGAGCTGGGCAGATCCTAGAGGGAGTCAGAATGTCCGGTGACTTCAAGCCCTTCTGCCCAGACAGCAGGGCGATAGGGATTGGTGTGCTGCAGGGCTACTGCTAGCACCTGTTGTTTCTGTTTGTGTGACAATATTGAAGTCACCTGAGTCCTCAGCCAGGTTTGCAAGTCTACTGGCAGGTAAGAAAGGGCTTTAAAGCAGTGTGTTGAGGGATGTAAGTGACGCATGGGAAAGCCTGTGAGAGCACTGTGTAAATGCCACTTGCAGTGAGAAGATTAGGAGGAAACAGGCTGTGCTTTTCAGTGCAGCAGAGGAGGCCGATAGCAGGGCTTCTGACAGCTCTCTGGGACAGAATCGCGGTGCTGTTACTAAAATCTCAATCCCTCATGTCACCATGCCATCTGGCATGATCTGAAAAGTACTCCAGAATTTTCATCCTCTTCGACTAGCTGAGTCTTCTTTTTGGCCTGTGAATCTGAGTTCACACAATAAGGAACAGTATGTCTGTTGCTGGAAACCCCTCAGAGCTGGGTGACTGGCAGAGTCAGGCTTTAAGATATCATTCAGTCATGCTGACCACCAACAGAGGACTAAATGCTCCGCTCAGTGGGGTCGCTGACTGCTGGTGGTATCACTTGCTCATTAAAATGAACTGTTTGCTCTGCAGCATTATTATGAAACAACCCAAGTGTTCATCAGCAGTTGAATGGATGTCCAACATGTATGATTATACTAGCCTTGTTTTTTGTTTCTATCACAAAAAACAAAACAGCAGCAACAGCAACAACAAACCTAAAGCCTGGGTCATTTATAAAGGGAAGACGTTTGTTCAGGTAATGGTTCTAGAGCAGTGGCTCTCTACCTGTGGGTCACAGCCCTTCAAAGGGGTCACATATCAGAGAGCCTGCATATCAGGTTACAAGTTACAAGTCAGAACGGAAGCAAAAGTACAGTTAGGAAGTAGCAAGGAAAATAATGTTACAGTTGGGGGTCACCACAGCATGAGGACCTGTATTAAAGGGCTGCAGCATTAGGAAGGCTGAGAACCACTGCTCTAGATGCTGGGAAGTCTGAGCCATGGTGTGACTTGTGCTTGGCTTTTGGTCAAGGTTTCCTGCTACTTCAACTCGTGAGAAAAAGCCAAAGGACAAGTGGTCACACACTGATAAAACAAAAAATGAGGTTCTGTCTTGACTTACAGCAACCAACTCCCATGTAGTAATGTGTCCAATCTCACCAATATAGCATTACTCTCTCTAAATGACCTAGTACCCTCTTTCAGGTCCTTTTAACACTCTTCCATTGGGACTGAATCTTCAACAGGGGTTTGAGAGATGCAAACCCTATTAAAACCTAGCAAGAACAACGAAATATCATTCCTCCATAAATAACAGAACAAGTACTAACACCTAAGACGGTGTACATGAAACTTGGAGCAATGGTGAGATAAGCCTGTAATCCCAGCATTGGGAAGGCTGAGGCAGGAGGATCACACATTCACTTGGTGTGAACTTTGAGGAAATAGAAAAGATCTAGAATGACATAGTAGTCACGACAGTACAATACTATAAATACAATAAAATCATTCAACTGCACACTTTAATATGATGAATTTTATGTCAACTAAAACTTGGCAAAACCATAAAAATATTTGCTAAGAAGGTCTTTTTCCTCTTTAGAAAAAAAAAATGATGTTAAAACTACTCTCATACCCTGATTCTGATAATGTGCTCTTTGAGAGTCTAGAGAATTTGCGGTTGGTAAGACTACCACGGTACTGAGGCTGGTTCTCACCCAGAGTGGGTGGAATCAGGCATCAGCATAGCAGCCATATCTACAGTCCGTATCTGCAAACTGCATCCTCTGGTTCAAGTTCATGTTCAACAGTGATGACTTCTGTGTGTGAAGAAGCACAGTCCTTGGCAGGGTCTTGAGGGGAGACATGGCTCTAACCTCTCCATGTTCAGGACCAGCCAGGAGTTCTGGCAATGGATGCCGCAAGGACAGTGGCATTTAGGCAACTAGACGTCTGATTTGTCAGTGCAGAGATGGGTCCTGAGTGAACTTCTGGAGGTGTGACAGCCCCCTCCACAAAGAAAAGGCAGAAAGAATGAAAGATCACAAACCATTTTATTCTATTTGCTGCTTTCCAAGGCTTGGAGCCTGAGCAGCCAGTGGAAAATTCCGCGAGCCAGTGAAACAAAAGGAGCCAGAAAGGAGGGCAGATAGAGGGCATCAGCATCCTGGCACTCGTCTCCATGTGCAAAGGTTCCTTCTAACTGCCCAAGGCTCAGATGAATCTCCTGAGGCTTATGTACAGTATGGAGAGGAACCTGGTCTATTTAAGTACTCATTTCATCATGAAGCAAAACAGGTCAACTTTATTTCATAAATGGACAGTGGTATGGAAAAAGATCAACGAAGCACAGCACTTTCCTTTCAAATGCCAACCTTTTAAGATCGAGGAATAGAGGTCAGTGCTAGAGGCCCTGCTGTGTGCACAGGCCCTGTGTTCAATCCTCTGCTAGGCAACAATAGCTGGGCTAGAATTTAGTAAGTGTTTACCTCTACTTTCATTCTTTTACATTAGTTACCTTTTAGGGCAAGCTTTCCATGTTACATTAGAGATACTCATAAAGCTTTTTATTTTTGGTTGTGAGTCTTGCCTTTAACGGCTGAGCCATTTCTCCAGCCCTGTATCACTTTGTAAACAAATGGGTTTAAAATCCAGGCATGGTGGCTCATCCCTATAACCCCAGCACTTGAGCAAGAGAATCAGGAAGATCCTGAGTTCTGTCTGACTTGTATAGCAACCACCTCCCACGTAGTAATGTGTCCAATCTCAACAGTACAGCATTAATCTCTCTAAATGACCTAGTGCCCTCTTTCAGGTCCTTTTAACACTGTTCCATTGGGATTGAATCTTCAACAGGGGTTTGAGAGATGCAAACCCTATTAAAACTTAGCAGGAACAATGAAATATCATTCTATCATAACAGAACAAGTACTGACACTCAAGACAGTGCACACAAAACTTGGTGCAACAGTGGGACAAGCCTGTAACCCCAGAACCGGGAAGGCTAAGGCAGGAGGATCACTTATTTGCTTGGTGTGAATTTTGGAGTTCAAAATCAGGCTCGGCCATGCCAGGAGTTCTAGACCAGCTGAGTCTACAATGAGACACCGTCTCAACACAATAAGGGTAGAACACACAATTCCACAAACTGTCCTCTGACTTCCACACATGAGCTGTGGCATGCAAGCCTCCAATAATAATAAATAAAAAATTTAAAATAGCCAAAACATAGATTTAAAGTCTTAATGCTAAAGAAAATACAGAAGAAAAGGACAGACAGGGCAGAAGTAAAGATGGTAAGAATGATAGATATTTGGAAATTTTATTTGTCTTTCACCTCATTCTAGAATGGGATGGAGAAATGGCTCAGTGGTTAAGAGTACTGTCTGCTCTTCCCGAGGTCCTGAGTTAAATTTCATGCAACTACATGGTGGCTCACAACTATTTATAATGTGACCTGATGCTCTGATGTGCATGCAGGTGTACATGCACATAGAGCACTTATATACATAAAGTAAATAAATCTTGGGAAAAAAAACAATTCTAGAGCAAGTCTGGATGTGCTGGGACATCCCTGTAATCCCAGGATCTGGGAGGTGAAAGATAGTACATTTGAGGCAAGCCTGGGCTACACAAGATCTCATCTCAAAACACCAAAATCAAATGACGGTGGTAGGGCATGGCTTCAATCCCAGCTCTTCCAAAGCAGAGGCAGGCAGATCTCTGTGAGTTTGAGGCCAGCCTGTTCTAAGTACAAACTGTTCTAAGTAGAACTCTGAGCTTGCCACCACTACTTATTGAAAGCCCATCTCAAAAGTCAGACAAAACACTAAAACCCCAAACAGTTCTAGAGTAAATTAAAAAAAAAAAAAAATCTGTGCCATATGCACACTTGCCACTGAATGTTCCCATGCTTCTGATTCATGTCTCAGTGACATCACTGTACTGGTGGCTAGGAGAGCAGAGCCTTGTGTGGAGCCTTGGAGTCTGAGTGGCCCTGAGGGCCAACATGGTATCAAAAACTTGAAGCAGTCTACCTGCTTTGAAGCAGGTGCCAGTTCACATTCCAAATTCAAAAGAGGGGCTGGAGAGATGGATCACTGGCTAAAAGCATTCACTGCTGATTCAGAGGATTATGACCATGGCAGCTTACAACTGTCCATAACTCTAATCTGAGGGTGCCTGACACACTTTTCTGGCCTCTGAGGGTACTAGACCTACACATGGTGCATAGACATGCACACAGGCAAAACACCCATAAACATAAAAATAACTGTCTTAAAAAAACTTAAAAGATTTCAAAAGATGTATGTCTTTTCTTTGTTTAAAATATTTCATGACAAGATGATAAGCAACAAAGGTCTTCCCCAGAACAAAGTGGGGAAGACAATATTGCGATACATTAAAAACCTCAATTATACAGCTGACTTACCAGTAATAGATTCTTATTAGCGCTGAAGGCCACAGGAGAAAAGAAGCGACGAATGCCAGGATTGGAATGGCCAGTGTCCCACCCGCAATCACAAACATGTTAACCACATCAAGATCCATCCTGTTCCTTGAGGTTTGCTGACACCTGCAGAGGCTGAAGAGAGGGCAGCAGTATTGAAACCATCCCAGGGGAAAAAAGAATCAGAAAGGGAGAGCATCCTGAAGGAGGGGTCAGGAGACAGGTACCTGAAAATAAGACAGGCTGGCAGCTAGATGTGACCTGGCAAGCAGCCGAAGGCACTGGGTTTCAAGAAGTGAAAATCAAAACTACAGAGTATGCTGCCAGGATGACTGGAGAAATCTGAGTAGCCCTGGGTATCAGACAGAAGTAGTATGCACAGCGCTACTATACGACAAAACTGTAGCTGTGGACAATGCAGGCTATCATGCCTAGGAGAAGCCTGCTCAAGCTCGGGGGGGGGGGGGGTGTACAGACTGGTATCTACTACTCACTTTTAAAAGTTCAGGAGAGAAAAAGTAATATATGCAAAATGTTAATTATAATGTATTATTCCTTCAAGTTTTCTATAGATTTGCAATATTCTATTTCCACTGATTGATTGACTGAGACAGGTCTCACTATGTAGCCCAGGTTGGCTTGGAGGAGTTGAAGAGATGGCTCAGTGGTTAGGAGCACTTTGCTGCTCTTGAGGAGGACCTGGGTGGAGCTCTCACTACCCACAGTGTGGCTCACAACCATCTGTAACTCCAGTTCCAGAAGATCTGGTGTCCTCTTCTACCTTCCTCAGGCATCAGGACTTTCACACAAACATACATGAAGGCAAAACACCCATTTACATAAAATTAATACTAAATTTAAAAAAAATATATATATATATATATAAAACCAAATGAAAGAGGAGTTACAGATCTTACAGATGAGTGCAGTGAGGCAGTGAGGGCAGAAGGCTAGCCTGCTTGTGCAACTGTCCTCCCAGCCACTTAGTCACTGGAAGCAGTTTTCCCAGCATGCCCCAATTACTGGCCTGCTTCTCTTCTAGAAGTACACTTCCTTCAGAGCAAGAATAAACACGTATGTTCTGGAATAGCACAAGGCACACACAAAGTACAAGCAGACTAAAGAAAAGCAAAGTTACAAGGTGGGATTGATACTGTGTAACATGTTTTAGGGAAGGAGAAATCATTCCCTACAATGCTACGAGACACTGAAGTTTTCCCTTGAAAGTTAAGTAATCACAACGCTCCCTGGAGGGGTTCCCTATTAGATTCAAGATACAAGGGCTGGGGAAAGGTGTGTAGCCCAGGGATAGAACCCTAGCACACATAGGGCCCTGGGTTCCAGTCCAACACTGCAGGGGCTGGGAGACATGGCTGGCAGAATTCAAAGAATAGATGTGTATAAATCTGCAGGCTGGCTTTTAATCCCAGCACTTGGGAGGCAGAGGCAGGCAGATCTCTGTGAGTTTGAGGCCAGCCTGGTGTACAAATCAAGTCCAGGACAGCTAGGGCTACAGAGAGAAACTCTGTCTTGGAAAAAAAAAAAAAATCTGCAGGCTGTGGGTTGTACATCTCATGTGAGCTGATGTATACAAGATGGTTCTTTCATATCACAGAGCATCCTTACAAAGTGCCACGAGCCACTGTTATTCAGACTCCAGAGCTGGAAAGTTAGTAACTCAGCGTCCTATCGCTCTAGGACTTAGAACATTTTATGCCGGAGGTCATGTACATCACTGAGACTGGAGATGGTAGGCAAATATAAAGAGAAAAAAACTTTTTCTTCCTGTGTCTGCTGTGGATATCACATTTTCAAGTGAAGTTCTACCAGGGTCCATCTTTGGAGCAGAAGGAACCCTTGTGTAGCAGGATCAATTTAACAAGGTTTGGGCTTCCCCAGAGAACCCACACACTCTCCCTGACAAGGAAATAGCAAAATTAAGTTATGAAGTAGCAACGAATATAATTTATGGTTGGAGGTCACCACAATAAGAGGAACTGTATTAAAGGGTCACAGCATTAGGAAAGTTAAGAACCGTGATTTAGACAAAGAGCAGACACTTCTTCCCTTCTCTGCAATATCCTTCACCTACAGGGGTCTCCTAGCTTCCTCTGGGAGGTAGCTCCCCTACCCTGCTGGAGCTAATTAACAGATGTTCCTGGGGTGTGGCGGACAGAAAAACCAAAACCTTGAGAACAAGGAATTACCAACTACCAACAATCAGAAAACCACATAAAGGTATTGCCTGGAACTTCCCAGACTATGTCTCCATATACCCAGTGGATTAGGAGAAGGAGAACATTAAATCAAGCTTTAGGAGCACACAGCTTTGGAGGACACCAGTACTCCCTAAGAAACTTATCTCTGCCAATTAAGTCCTGTCAAGACCAGAGAGCAGATCTGAGGATGGCAAGTTAAATGTATCTCTGCTCCTGGGAAGTCCTGCAAGTTTAGCTAGTCAGTTCCCATTATTTATTTTGTGAGGGTGTGTGTATGTGTCTGTGTGCACAGGGGCATGCTACAACACACACATGGAGAACAACTTGCAAAAGTCAGCTTTCTCCTTCTACTGTGTGTGTTCAGGGGCTCAAGTTCAGGTAATCAGGTGTGGCAGTAACTACCTTTACCCACCGAACCATTCCCTGGCTCTTAAGATACTTTCAAATTATTCTAGGGACATATCTTAATTTTAAAAATAAATTTAAGTAAAAAGATACTGATTTAAGGAGAAAACGGTAGAGCCAGGGATGAAGCTTGGCGCAGTGTGTTTGTCTACGATGCATTAAGTCTCGGGTTTGATCCCTGATAATGCAAGTAAACAGGGAAATAGTAAGTGGGTGGTGTGTGGCTCTGGGGATGTATATGTGAGTTGCTGCTTGGAAGGGCACAATCATGGAATGAAGGGGCACTAGACTTAAGGGTATTCCAACCACTGGCTGTTCTATACACCTGCTCTGAGACCCTAATGTCCTCAGCTCTTCTGCCCTTTCCCAATCTGGTGACTTAAAATTTCTAAAATTGGCTGGGTGGTGGTGGCGCACATCTTTAATCCCAGCACTCGGGAGGCAGAGGCAAGTGGATCTCTGAGTTCGAGGCCAGCCTTGTCTACAAAGCAAGTTCCAGGATAGGCAAAGCTACAAAGAGAAACCCTGACTTCAAAAAAAAATTCTAAAAATTATGTCAGGCAATCAAAGAACAGGATCTAGCTAGCACTCCCCTAAATCTTATGTCCTATTACAACTCCCCAGAAGCACTTAAATGGCACTTGACACACTCTTGATATCTCATAATGTTTGTTACTCTTTTCACTAATCTATGGTATTAAAGTAGGGACCCCAGGAGCCCTGCAACACAGGGAGAAGGGAGGTAACATCAGGACAGGAGTTGGTTATATATATCTGCTTCAATAAATGCCTTTGTTTTTGTTTGACTTTCAATGTAATCAATTCATTAAGAATTTATTGTCCAAACAAACAAAAAACAACAAAATGGAGGAAGAAGAAGAGTTGGTCATTGTGTCAGCAGAGTGAGTCTCACTGTGTCACACCTAAGAACAAAGCCCATTACTCAGCCTCTGCTGTCACATCTTAACACCCAAGCCATGTTCAGGGTCTTTATTATCATAAACAAGAATGGAGAGGAACTGGATGGACAGGTCAGTAGATCCAGACAGACCCTGAATGAGGAAAATCAAGTGTAGTCTGGGATTGGAAATTAGGCAAGACATTTCAGAACTCTGTAATGACCTGGTTTGGAATGCTAAGGATCTTGAGTAATGATGCATTACTCCTCAGGGTAAAGAGCAAAATATAGGAGTAAGCAGAACATAGAAACACTTGCACTGACTTCTGCCTTCTAGGCACAGCCAGCCTGCCCCAGAGTCCTAGGATATTTATAGCCACAGCCCACACATTTGCAGTAACAATGTCATCACAGTGCCAAAAGGTGGGACACCCTGACATCCACCTGTAGTCCATCAAAGCTGACAAACTAAAACCTTGGTCTGTCCAAAACAATGTCTTTTGCACCAATACAGTAACTGGCCACTACCAGCACAGCTGAAGATCTAAGAACAGTGTTCATGCACTGAGAACTCCCCTGTGCCAGCCCTGAGTAGTGACGAACATGCATCCTCCCACATCCTCTTTCATAACATAATGAGATGGGAAACAGCCTCCCGATGAAAACTAAGTCAACAATCATCTCCCACGTCATCTGGTTGGTAAGCAGCATGACCTGAACCCTAACAGGACCCTGTAAGTCTCCCTACTTCATGTCTCTGCCTAGTCTACAGAGCAAGTTCAAGGACAGTCAGGGCTATACAGAGAAATCCTAGCTCAAAAGATGAGAAAAAAGAAAACAGTTATTTTTATTTTGTGTTTATGGGTATTTTGTGTGCATGCATGCCAGTGTACCACATGGATACAGTACTCACTGAGGCCAGAAGAGGAGGCAGATCCCCTGGAACTGGAGCTATAGATGTTTGTGAGCCACCCGGTGGGTACTGGGAACTAAACCCTCTTCTGCAAGAGCAATAAGTGGTCTTCTGTGCTGAGTCATTTCCCTAGCCCTAAAAAATACTGATATTAGCTAGACCTCATGGCACAGGTCTATAATCCCAGTTCCTTGAGACAAGGCCAGAGGTTCATTAGTTGAAGGCCTTCCTAGGCTAACTTCCTAGCAAGTTCCAGGCCAGCCTGGGTAATTTAGCAAGATCTTCTCTCAAAATAAATTCAGTGGTTTATTTTGTTGGCCAGGAGGACTTGCTCAGTGGTAGAATAAGTTCAGTTCCCACTGTGGGGTAAGTGTTATAGTTAAAATACTATAAAGAAATGTAGGAAAAGAAAAACGTGTGTTCTTGAACTCTTGAGTGCAGTGTCCCTACTGGTCAATGGTGTTGTATGTCCACAGACTTCTGAACCAGTTCCTGGAAAGCAAAACTGATTCTTCAAAACTATCCCTGAAGAGTAACCCCTAAAATAACCCTGTGTAGCTCTCCTCTACCTTCTCTGGAGCCATCTTGTCTTCTCCTTAACTCTGGTTGAGTTCAATCCTATGTTGTAATTTGTAGTTACCATAGTCCTGCTATTGAAAGAAGCTATGGCTGAGCATGCCTGGCTGGAACACCTCAATGC